AGAGATCTCCGATCGCCAATGTAATTAAAAAGATCTCGAAACCCGTCATTATCACCGAACGAACGAACAGTCGACGAGTCGGCCCGTGTGGCACCGTAGACGAGCCGACAATTAAGACCGGATTCACCTATCATATCGTACCTCGATGCTCACGAATTTGGCAGCGAAACGAACGCGACCGATCGACCGTGCTCGAACGCCAGCACGCCCGTCCGATCCGATGCGATGGGTCAACGACATCCTGGTGAACGGTTCGAGGCGCGATAGGGTACGTCGGGACGTAGGAGCGAGCAGGAGGGAACAACGCCGGAAAGAAGAAGAGAAGCGGAAAGAGACGGAGTCGGAGAGAAAGAAGAGAATTGGAAAGGGGGGAGGGTGTAAGGGTGGTAAAGAAGGTTGCAGAAGGAATAAAAAAAAAAAAAAAAAAAAGAAAATCAAGAAAAAGAACAAGAAAAGGAAAAAGCAGAGGATGGAAGAAGAAGGAAAAGGGGAAGAGAGATGCTGACAAATTGGAAGGCCGTTAAGCGAAAGCAAAGGCACGAAGGTGTCGTTGGTTGCAAAGAGAAAAGAGCTTCGATGTTTGGCGAGAAGAGGTCGGTGAGCCGGGAAAAAGACGAGTCGCGCGCGACACTCGTGTCAAGACGATCCCCGGTCTCGGCATTTTTAGAGCCGAAATAAAGTCGAGGAACGTATACCGTTGTACATATTCGCTGGCCCCGCGCTCCACGATCGTAGGTGGTCTCCTCTCACCGGCCAATCTTCCTCTCTCTTTCTCGTTCTCTCGGTAACCCTTCGTATCGTCTCTGTTTGCCGATCCACCGAAACTCGTGCACCTCCGGACGAGACCGCACTGGCTGCTTGACTGCTGAAGAGAGAGAGAAGTAGAGAGACTGGTCGTGGAAACGGCGATAATCGAACGCACACGCGTCCTCCTCTCGCCGAGAAATCCTCCTCGTCTCTCCTCCGATCACCGAAATCGATTCGCCGTCGTGATCGATCGAGCCGTGGAACCGCGATACGCTCGTTCTCTCGCGGTCCGCTGTCGGTATTCAGCTGGAAAGCGCATTACCGCCGCGCCGCAGAGATTGAATCGTCAGAGATTTACGTGGACTGGGATCGCGGAAAGGTAGGCAGGCTGGATGGGATAGTTGGAACGGCAGGGAAGCACGCAACGCGAGTATTTCGACGAGTTCGTCTTCACGGGCGAGAGATAAGATCCGAATCGGGGACGGGTTTGCTCGACTTATACGCGAAACGTAAATTTCGCCGGGTGATAAGATCGCTCGTAACCTATTTCCGGCGAGGCCGATCCTCTGAAATCCTTCAGAGGATTCGAACAGGCAGCCGCTGCGTTTCCACCGCGCGATTCGACGTTTCGCCCGTCGTAAGATCATCGGCCCGATCCATGAAATTTAACCGTTCGAAAAGTTTTACCGCTACTTCTCTCCCCGTGCACCCTTCGACTATCGTAACAACCGTGACGTTTAAAAATCTTCGTCAATCTATCGGTGATCAGCTTTCCGTAGGAGCGTAACAGTGACGGAGGACGGGAAGGATATTATACGGTGAACGATCGAGTCCAGGTGATGGCCGATGTAGCGCGCAGGTGTGCGTGAGCGCAGGAGGCGAAATCGTAATCTTAATCGCCTTGGAGTAGCCGCTCGTCTCGGGATCGGGCAACAGGTTCCCCCTCGCGCGCGCGATTCAATCGTGTCTTGGCTTCTATACGCGCGAGAGCCGACCTCTTACCAGCTCAGCGTATAGTAAGAACAGGCTCGTTACGTCACTCATCCATCTCCTTCGGCGACCCCGGCTATTGATTTATCGTCGAACCGGGCATTCTCGTTTCTTTCATCCTGTCGGTGGATACGTGCGCGCCGCGGACCGATCCTCTCCGATTAGAGGAACGCATTGTGCTCGAACGGAATCGAGACGGGACAACCGACTGCATCCACGTCGACGAACCCACGGAGAAAGTCCTCGTTCGTTGCGCAACAATAATTGGAAATCGAGTCGAGCTTTTACCAACATTTCCATCGGATTCCTTTTTTCCACCATGGGAAAACGCGATATCCCGTTCCTTTTTTACCGTGCGAAACGACCCATCGCGAAGACTTTCCAATTTTTTTTCCCCCGTTGCATATCGATGCCCGGCTAGCCGTGCTCTCTTATTTGAATAATATGAAAAATCGAGGTCTTCCCTTTCGATAGGAGAGACCGAGGAGGCAGGCTGGCAGGAAGGAAGATAGATAGAGGGATAAATGGAGAGAACGCGGTAGATGAACGGATATACGGTGAAGCTATATGGAGGAGAGAAAGAGAAGATAGAAACTCGGGAGAGAAGAAAGATGCACGATCGGTGGAGTGAGTTAGGGCCGGCGGGCAACGCTATGCATACCGTCACACCCAGCGACACGCTCCAAATTTGAAATTTAAATTCGGTACGTCTCATGGGACCGCGTCGTACACCGGTTACTCACACGTGCGCACTCCTACGTACTCGCGAGAGTGCGTGTAGGGGATGGATGGGGATCGAAGAAAGAGGGTAAGGAACGACGAAGAAAAGGTCGACCGGACGACGCGACGGGATACGTCACCGTTTTCACCGCGATACCAAGCGACCTCCCATTCGCTCGTTTCCGTTTCTACGTAAACACCCTTGGGTATAGTAATTCGCTGCTGATCCTACTACCACTCGTCCTCACTATGCCAACTTTGCTAATCTTCCCGTCAACCTCCCTCGCCGTCTCTTAATGTTTCGTTACTCCGAACGACGGGGGCGTTAAAGAAAAGTGCTCGCTTTTAGCGACCTCCTAGCTCGATGGTTATCGCTTCGAAAGTACAAGAGCGTCAGGATCTCGTCAACTTGCCAGATTCGTTGGTCGACTAAGTCCTCTTAGCCGGTATAGAATAGCGGGTCAATCTGGAAGCTTTGCTATCTCGAAAGTTTATCGTAGTTGAGACGGCGAGAGCGACTTGGATGTTACTTTGCGAGTTTCCTTCGAGCGTGATCTCGAACGTATCCGCGGAGTACTTTTGAAGAGGGCTCGAATTAGGCCGGTGTACAGCAAAGCCCATTACGCACACAATAAAAGAAGCTGCTCGAGTGGCTTTGGTTCGAGGAGCTACTTGCGAGAATTCACGGATATCTTGGCGCGTCCGTTCCGAAACATCTTTCCCCTTGAATCTCGAACAAATTCTCTCGTCGTTCATTCGATTCGTGGCTCTCGTAATCGAACGAAACCGAGGAAGCTTAGAGTATTAGCGCGTAGAGACGATCGGTGGAACGATAGTGACATTGGGATTAGGAAAAACGAGTTTACCTGGGAATCGATCGAGAGAAGCGATTTGAAAATTTCGCCACGGCTCGGCATTATCGCATTGCGAGGCTATTCACGGGGGACCGCGAATGCCCTTTGAAAGAGGCGGGAAAGCTGTAGCGAGAATTCGACGGGGCTAGGTGGAAATGGCAGGCTGGCAGGTAGAGGATAGGTGGCGGCGGGACAATTATTTTCACCGACACCCCGTGTTTCGACGGTGTCTCGATGAGGTCGGATAATCGCGGTACGCGTGAGAGCCCCTGGGATTCTGCGTGGCTCGTCGAACCGGTCGGTACGGTGGTGGTAGAGAGATAGGGGTAGCGCGCGACGATGGCAAACAGTCAACGACGGGGACGGGGACAACGGTGGCGAGAGGAGCGCAAGGGGGATCGGATGGATTTTGCAGCGCGCAGTTTTCACCTTTGAGATTGCATCCGGCGGCAGGGATGGTGGTGGGCTGCAACCCCCCCGTCGGCCGGGGTACTTTGGTCTAGGAATTCAAGGACCCGGAGTCTGGGAAGGGATAGACGACTACGACGACGACGACGACGACGACGACGACGACGACGACGACGACGACGACGACGATGACGACGACGAAGCTCGCGCGCTTTGGGGGTGGCTCGGCTGATGGCTGCGTGGCACTGGTGAACACCGTGCGACGAGGAGAAGAGAAGGTAAAGGTAATCGAGAAAAACAGAAAGAGAAGAGAGGGCCGAGCAGGAAGCGAGGTCGTGGCGCGAAACGAGGAAAGAGCCGTGACGAGCAGAAACGCGGAGAGGCATTGAAGTCGTAGAAGAACGAGTGAGACGAGACGAAGGGGCTGGTGGCAGAGAGAGGGTGCACGAACGAGAGAGAAAAGGAGTGAAGAGGGTTGGACCGATAGCGTCGCGGCGCTAGTGAACACCGTGGAAGAAGGACGGAGGGAGGTAAAGCGATAGAGAGGAAAGGCAAGCAAGGGGATGATGGCGATAGTGGTGGTGGTAGAGGCGAAATGATAGAGAGGGATTTCGAAAGGGGGTGAAAGACAGGCAGCGGAGAGAGATGCCGCGAGGTTGAGGGAAAGAGGTAAAACGGGGGATGAGCGAGGGTGAAGGCAAAGGGGGTGGGTTGTAGCAGCAGCAGCCGCCGAGAGCCGGTCGATACGACCACCACTACAAACGTGTCGCAGGACACCACGCATAACCTGCTGTGCTGCGTGTGCAACGATACGCGCGACGACCCTTCTCCCTCTTTTTCCCTTCTATTCCCTCCTCTCATCTCCTCTCCTCTCCTCCCTTCTCCTCTCTTTACCGCTGCTGGGGCTTTCTCACCCTTCTCGTGTACGACGAGAACGAGAGCTGCCGAGAAGCAAGGTGTTTTAGCACGGTCTCGAGGATCCGCCATTTTGAGAGGGAGTCGTTTCCCTCATCCCCCTCGATACGTTGACTTTTCACGGTGAAATCTTTGCTAGGGCTCTCCCGCGCGATTCGATACACCGACGAGTATTTCCAGCAGGCGGGAGATCGTCTTAACCGGCGTTCAACATCGAAACCCGTGTTTCCCATTCTTTTTATTTTATCACCTATGTTTTTGTAGAACCGCTCGATAGGGGTGGATTATCGAAAAGAGAACTGCAGCGTGTACAGGTTTAAGCTTTGTAATCTTTCTATTACCGACTGTATTTTCTTTTGGTTACAGTTGTTCTCTTGGACACGACACAGGAGGAGAAACTCGAGTGGACCAGGTATCCCTTCGGTCCGGAAGCTAACACCCCGGGGGTAAGTTTTCCTATCGATACGCTAGAAGATTCAACGTGCGAAACAGCATATTTCACGCGAGATCTGAAATCGGAAAAGCGAGCGATAGCTGTCGGTCGGACGGTAAAAGAGCATAGGTCCGGAACACGGTGTCCAGTGGGACAAAATGGATATTATAGAAGAGTATGGAGAGCGGGTTGCGGGGGTACCAGAAGCACTTTATGGTCTCGGTGCGCTTGGCATACGTGGGCTCCCGCTGGCCAGTGCGCTCTCTCGGCGCCATGTTTGTTTTTCAGTTGTTAAGCGCGCAGCGGGCCGCCAGACAGGTTTAAATCAGCCACTACCTCCTCCTCCTCCACCTTCTTCATCGCCGACCAGCCACCACCTCCTCCTCCCTCTTCCTCTCCTTCTCTCTCAATTGCGCCCGCGTTCCTCCCTGCTCTTCCTCTCTTTTTCACCTTGTTTTCCATCTTCCTCTCGCTCACCCTCTCCCTCCCCCATTTCTCTCTCTCTCTCTCTCTCTCTCTCTCGTTCTATCTTGTTGCTCGTACTCGCGAGCGGGACGCGTAGCGTCGGACCAAGAGTCAGTCCGCTGGGTAACAAATTGCTTTTTGTTTGAACGGACAAATTAGAGAGACGGCCGCCGGATAGGGCGGCAGAGGAACGAACAGAACACGCGGTGCTCGCTAGGGAAAGAGAATGACAGAGGATGCGTTTATTTAAACGTCGTAGGACGTATAGTTTCCTGCGTGCACGTATAATCTGTTCGCGTACGATGCCGCTGAAAATTTCACTGAAACTCGACGACTCCTTCTGCCGTGGATTCTACGTGGGTGTCGAACCGCTAGATACCTCGGCTTCGACTCGGCTTCGCGCGACCATATTATACTTTTAGCTAACGTTCGAAATTGGTTAAACTCGAACGTTGCGGAGCGTACTTGGAAAATTCTGCGAAAGAACGTTCGATAATTAATCTTGGATGGTTTTTAGCGGTAAAAGCACGAACGAATTATCGGTCAGTCAACCTCGTTATTTCGCGGCGCGGCGGGTTCGGAGTGGAAAAAATTAAGTTGAAATTAGAACGTCGATCGAAAGGATATCGGCCGTTTGCTTCTCGTCTACTTTTTCTCTGTCGACGTTCAGCGTGGATCGTTAGTGCTGTACCGCTAATCGAGCAGCGTAACGTTTCGTTTGAAAAGGTTCTTTGAGTATGCTGTTGATTTTTCTAGCTGCTAAACGTCCTCCGCTTGCCCCGTTCGAAGCGAGAGGATCCAGAGGACGGCTCGTGCACGGAAGCTCGATCTTTTTTTCCTTGGAACTAAACGGAAAAACTAGACCCCGAAGCCTTTTGTCGAGTACTCGAGTTTGCTTCGCACCTCTTCTTCGAGTGGAACGTTCAAATATTATATGCTCGCAAGCTCGACTTTCTCGCGTACCGTTTCAAGCATCTCGAAAAGTATAATTTACACCCTTTTCACGAATCTCGGCCAACGGTTGCTCGATTCTCGATTGCCTTAACTTTCGGTACCCTTGTAATCTACGCGCGTGTAAATATGTGCTTAGCTATCTGTGCGCCGAATTTTATTTCTTGCAACGTTCACGTAATTACAGAAGAACGTGTTCGTTGAATAAATTACGAGTGGTAACTCTTATTAAGCGATGTTTATAACACAGAGGAGGACTGGTCCGGTCGGACACGCAACGGCGATAAAGAAAGGAAACGGCTACCCCAGAAATTCTTCGAGGTCTTAGCTCATCGCGATCGGGTCGGATGTCTGGAGCCGAACGTCATCGCGATTGAAAGCTCAAACTTACAACGGGATGGCGTGAATAATCAACGACCAGTCTGTCGAACATTCTCTTCTGTCTTTCTGTGCATTCTCTCATTTTGGATTCCATCAGCCTCTTTACCTCATCGACGATCGCGAAAGGCTAGAATTAATTTCCACCTGTATTTTATCTCGAGGAACACGTCCTCTGTGACAGTTTCCTCTTCCACGTTCACTTGGATCCGGCCAAAGCTTTGAGAATGACAGAGAGGAATCCTCTTAAAGTGCTGGCTCCAGCTTCCTGATCCGCTTCTAACTGATGGTTTTCCAAGGGTGTCGCGTGAACGGAATGCGAGATAGATCGAGTGCTTTGCCGAAAGAGGGACACCTAAGTCGACCTAATCAGTTTTCCCGAACAGAGATTAACGATACTGCTACTTACCCTGCCCTGCGATTCGCTGCAGGACCTCTCGATCGTCCGGTTAGCTCAAACGGGGATACCTTCCGCCCTTCCGCATCGAAGATCCACAAAGTTGCAGAGTAATAAGTACGGTCAGCGCGTGGGTTTATTAATATACAGAACCGTAGGGCGAACAGCGTCAGAACAAACAAGCCAAACAGAATTAGCTCGGAGTATTTGAGCAAGCCGATAGGGAGAGAAGGGTTGGCGTGCGTGGCGAAGCGAGACGTCGCTTTGATGGCGTTGATGGCGTTGCTGGCGAGCCTGGAAATTCGTACAAGTATAAAGGGATCCCGAAGATACCTCTCCGTCTTCCTTACTCTGTTCCTCCTCGCCTGCTGCTAATCTTGCCTGCAGGACTTTGCGGAAACCCGTGTTTCACCCTCTACCTCGACCGAGAACGCAAAAAGACTTTAAACAAAATAGAAGGAAAAGAAAGAGGGATGAGCGAGGGAAAAAAAGCACCGCTTGAATTAATTGAGAACGCTCGAGTTTCCAGTCGACCGATAAAGACACAGACGGACTATCGCGCTCTTCGCGACCCTTCGAGTTTCTCATTTCCATCTTTGACAACCGAGGGAAAGTTTCTCCTTGTTATTAACGGAATCGTGGGCTTCTCCTTCAAACATTTGCGTAACGCGTTTTATTTTATTTGTATTTTATTTTCATAGACGGGACAATAGCCATAAGCGCCTTTTTCGGCGATTACACTGCAATTTTTATAGAATTTTAGTTATTCAAAATAGAATATAGAATTTTAGTTATTCAAAAAGAGACAAATTATCATTTAAAAAAAAAAAAAAAAAAAAAAAAATATGGGAACCAAGGATTTGAACCGATGACCTTTAGATTGCGAGTCATGTGTTTAACCACGGAGCGGATCCATGACTCGCAATCTGAAGGTCCTCGGTTCAAATCCTTGGTTGCCAAAAATTTTTTTTTTTTTTTATAATAATTTTTATGTAATAGTTATTCAAAAAGAGACAAATTATCATTAAAAATAAGTAAAAAAATGTTGGGAACCAAGGATTTGAACCGTGGATCTCTAGATTGCGAGTTGTATGTGTGAGTTTGTCATACTTTAGAATGTAAGGAGTAACTAAGTGTAATTGTTAATATCTTTTAAACAATTATCCGTCTGCCCTCAAAAGGGGGTATAGGCATGTTCAGCTCGACGAGCTCTACAAGCTGGCAAAGTTTCATTAATAAGTGAGTGTAACACTTGGGTAGTTCCCCATGTTAGAGCTTTGCTACGATAGCCGGATCTTCTTTTCGAGTGGAAATTTATTGTCGGTTTGGCGGCAGTTCGGCTCGTTTGCCCGATGTAATGTAATCCTGGCGCGTAGGAGAAGACCCAAGAACGTTTAGAAAGTCCAATAAACAATGACGGGGACGATTTTTGGGAAACGCCGATCGTTGGTCCCATGTACTTTATGCTCGGTGTCTCGTTAAATGTAAATTATCGAAGGTATGCACTGGACGTGTACCGATCGGGGACAGCCAATCTACGGGAACATCGGGGAAAAGTCTACGATAGCAGTCGGAAAGAGGTACGCGAAGCGATTTATTTCCACGGAGATAAAGTTTCGATAGAACGGCCGGGGAACTGAATGGACTCGACGTAAAATAGGAGGAGGAGGACTCGATCGACCACTCGTTGATTCGTTCGACGGAATATTTAAATCGTTTCCCGTCTTGGGAACAACGCCGGACAAGGATGATTCGAACTGTTGTACGTTTCAGTTTCGATCTAGAGGCGAGTTAACGGTACTCGCTCGCGATAACTGGCCGCCCCGATGTGAGAGCGTAAAAAAGAAGTCCGGGACCGAGAAAAATTTGGCTTCCAAAAGAGGATCCTCCGTTGTATCACCGGTTGATCGTCCTCGGGAAGAGGCAAGTTCATCTTGGAGCCGATGAAACGTGGCAATCGTGTGTACGGTTGCTGGCGAAAAGGTTTACTCTCCTCGCACGTGGCACTCGGGCTTCTATCTGATCGTTTCATCTCGCGTTTCCTTCGTCTTCATCCTGGTCTCTCTCGTTCACCCTCGCCACCCTCTCGTCGCTGCTTCTCCCACCACCTCCTCGCTCTCATCCTGCGGGTTGCCCTTTTCAACCGCGTCCGCGGTCGTATCTGCATCTAAATGCGCTCCTCGGATGCGAAATTCTGAGGACGTCACGTGGTGATATGTGACTCGGGTAACCGCGTCTTCGGGGGCTCTCGCTCGTCAAGGATCGCCTTCCCGGAATGCGAAGCGATGCGACGTAACGCGCGAGAAAACACTTGGCTTCGTCAGCCAGCCAGTCCACTTTACTCGTCCTCGCGTGTATCCTCGCGTTTTGCATACCGGTAGCCAGCTCGCTTCTCCCGGCATTCTCACAAATTTTCGAACGAATTAGTCATCGAACCAGTCCTCTATCGTTCCTCCATTTTCCACGCTTTTCAAATTTTCGTCGAAACGAATTCTTGTTTCTAGCCTGGAGCTTGTTATTTTTTTTTAAATATCTCTACCAACGATAGAGTATCTCGAGAATGCTAGATCGAGGAGATTTGGAAGAGTGACGCCCTGGGAAAGCGATATAACCGAGGCGACTAAGTAATTACCCGTAGCTCATAAAAAGAGTACATAAATAGGAGGGCGGAGAGAGACGCGTGTGTCTTTCGGGTCGGACGCGTACCGGGTGGAGCGCAATAATCGTACAGCTGTGAACATTTCGGGGCGCCGAGCGGGAATAATAAATATCGGGTTACCTTCGGGGGTGTGTCTAGAATAACTAGCCGGCTATTAGTTAAA